GTGCATCCTTTTTTCCCTTTATCGATTTTCCCTCGGGACTTTCATCAATGTATAATACCTTCCCAATGCCAACTTCATTCATGAGTGATTGATTCAAGCGATTCAATGTCTTGATTTGCTTCGTTTGTTGTTCAGCGTTGAAAAACAAAAGGGAACTGGTGGGACCCATCGTAGAGTGTGGGCCTACATAAGATTAGAAATAGCTATTTCCAAGATAAGTTATTGGATGTAAATTTAGGTTGAAAAACAGACCAGAATTGTAACTTCAGAATTTTCCCAACGTTCAATGTAATCAAAGACGTTTAATGTCGTGCTACACGTCCAATGGACCTAACAGTCAATGCGCTGTATGTTCTGCTTTACTGATAAGCTGGCCAATTGAAGATAGAGTTAGGTAGATAAGTTTGTAAAAAGTACTTTTTGACATCAGTTACCCCGTTTAACATTCACGTCGGTTCCTTTCGATGTTTCGGGGTGAACGGTGGGTCCCACGGTTCTAGAGCCTAATCAAATTTGGCGGGCCTCGGTTCTCATGTGGGTCAAACAATAAGAAGCTCGATCCAGTCTTCTATAGAGATCAGTGATTTGTTCCCCCTGTGCGAAAAAACCTGTGGCTAAAAAGCATATTCGATGTCGATATCCATAGCTGGAAGGTGTGGACGATTTGGTATAATTACATAATAGAATACGGATGCGAAATAGAATCCAAGGTCTAGTATTGTGGGACTAGACATTCCTTCTCGAAAAAAATTCAAGCAAGTTAAAACCGAAGTTGCAAGAAGAGGATCGAGGCCGAGGGGCAAATCACTGCTTAAAATCACGAACACTCTCAAGAATAATCACACTTCAATCATAAACTAATCACATTAATAAAACAATCAAATCAATCATAAAGTATAACATTAATTACAAAAGTTACTTAAGACAAATATCAGAATCCTTGCCCACTTTTATCCGGATATGTTATTGAAAAATTCAGTATTTAGAATTTCTCTTTCACACTTTTCGAATCTTTTCATAAACCCGTTGGAAAAATCTGCAAACACACGCTCGAGAACAACAGTCTTTTATAAGTAACCCTGCAATGGAGCAAAAATTAAGGCCTCCTTATGATGCCGGGGTCACTGTAACAACCATTGCTGATTTTGTTGCCAAAATGCCACTGAAGTTGATCTGACCGAAACCCAGGCCTGATAGCAGTCATTTTTTACCCATTGCTACAGGGGCGGATCCAGACAGTTCCGGATTTCGCAGTTGCAACTGTTACATTCATGGGAAATGATTTATGTCAGATTTTTGTAATTTCCACAGATAAAGTTTGATAATCAAGTTCAATATTTCTGGAACTTGTAATTTTTCATTCTGGTAAATTTGTCTGGAATGACAGTATAATTTCCCAATAGTGACATCACTTGCAAGGGCAGAGAACAGGGCACATGCATTTGTCTTAATGTCTTTCACAAGGTGTTTAATAACTGTTCACTGTTTTTTCATTCCGGGCTGTTTGCAGGCATGTTGCTAGTGCTATTGTTCAGGAAAGATAGCTTTTTTGAGGCATATTCAAATTTTTATGATGAAAGTTGATGGCCCACAGAAAAGAGCACATGTCTCGTTCATAGTGATCAACATCTTTTCACCGTTCTTCACTTCAGGCTACTGTCACCCTGCACCCATGATCTAGAAAGCTTATAATATTGATTTAATATCTTGCTTATGCTGCTGCTCAGAAAAATAGCTAGCTCTGTTTTTAGTTGTAAATGTTATTAAACTTTTGCACCTTTTTCGTTTGCAAATCTGCAACGGTCAAATTTTTTTCTGGATCCATCCCTGTGCTGAACTGCTAATTTTTAAATTTTATATAGTATGTTGCAAGATTGTTGACAACGTTTATTAAGCATGAAATTATTTGAAAGCACTTTTGAATCTATGATTCAGTTTCTATAAAATCAAAAATTGATAAAAAAATTAATCACTTTTATCACTGAAAATCAAAATAATCACACACAAAATTGATTTAATCACAAGTCAATCACTAGTGATTATTAATCTCGTACACCAGTTACAAGAGTGATTTGTCCCTCGATCAAAGCCATGCTGAGCGGAGCTAAATTGTGACATCTTTTTTTAAAGTGTGGGCAAATTATTAACATTTTACTAATCTCATTAGAATCTTTTAGCAGTATTTATAAACCAATAACACACAGGGCCATGACGGGGTAAAGCAACCCCAAACCAGTCAACATTTTGGCTAGATCTGCGCCTGATTTTCCTACTAACGGTGTCGTTAATAGGGTTATAGTATACTTCGTAACAAAGAAAGGTCATTGGCCTTGAAGTTCACGCTGATAGACCATGTTTTTCATAATTGTTTGGCCTTTCCCATATAAACAGGACAGTTTACTTTTTTGAAATGAAGAGTATTTCATCATGTTAAGCCCTGAAATCAAAATCCAAAACAACGATCTCGGCCATGCAGAACTGGACACCTTTTTAACATACGTAGAATAACCACACGGAAACGAGATAGCTGCTTTAGCTAACCAGTGTAGTTTCATCATAAGACAGTGTATACAGGGCCGTCGCTAGCGGGGAGAGGGGGTGGGGGGGAGGGGGCTGCACCCCTAGAAAATTATTGTCAGCAAATTTTCGAAAAGTAAAGTTTGTCGGATTTTGTTTTCAAAGTTCCGACAGCAATAGCTTTTGCAAACAGTGGCGAAGAGATAGGATAAGACCGAAAACGTATCACACAAAAGCCCTCAGCAATTCAAAATAGGTACAGACAGGAATATGGGAGTCGGGGTGCAGGGGCGGATCCAGGATTTTTGGTGACTATAGCTCAAATCTTTTGGGATCGGAACCACGCCCTCCTTGCTTGTGGGACACGCCCACTATATGGGCAAATGATATAACCATGTGTGCTTATAGTTGCTTCGTATTAATAAATATTCCTTGGAACATCCTTTTTCTATTTCCAGGGACGCCAGAGAAGGGGGTGTGGGGGCTCAACCGCCCCTGTTTCCCCTTGGCAGAAGGTGCAAGGGTTGTTTTTAATAAAGTTGCCTTGAAACTGGCCAATTGTAATAATCAGAGAGATTCATATAAAATTCGGAACTTCTCAAACATATAAAATAGTTCTATATGCCGAAAGTTAGCCAATGTTGAAGATACCTACAGAAGATCGAAATGAAATTGCAGTTACGTATGAATCAGAAGCCCTTTTACTCAAGCCTGCCCCCCCCCCACCCTCCTCTCGCCGCTTGGTCGTTCCGCCGTCCCTGTCTATTCCCTAGTAGGTCCTTGCCTTTGAAGCTACATTACAGTGGACCCAGGATGTGAAAACGAGCTATAGTCCACTGTTGCTTTACAGTGGACAGAGAGCGGAGAAGTAACGTGGATACTCATATTCTATTGGTTAAAAGGCCATTTTCAAACCTGACTATAGCTTCAATATAGCTCGCGCCAAAAATTATAGTACGGGTTTCATTGTCTTCGATGCCTTTTCCAGAGCAAATCCCCAGACCGACTATAGCTCGGAATATCCACTGTAGCTCAATTCTGGTTGGTTACTGTCAACAAAGAACGAAACTTCTGATTCGTCTAAGTTTTAATATTAGACCATTCTGCGCTCAGTGTTTTATATCTTATCTGGAGAGGCATTGTGATGACACATTGCCAGCATTGCATGTTTGTTAATCGCATTTGATAACCTATACCGCTGCTTTCAAATGTTGATAGTAAACACTTGTGGGCAGGGTTGCCAATTTGGCAATTTAGTTGCCAAAATTGGCAATTTTGGCACTTTTTCATGTTGTTTGGCAACTAAAAATTTAGATTTGGCAACTGTCTAAAGTTTGGCAATTTTTTGGCACTTTTTGAACATTTTCTCTTCACGAGTTTGTGACATTTTCTTAGTATCTTTTCGTGACATTCTCCCTTCAAATTCGATAATATTCCGTTAATGACACCCTGTGCCTCTCCCGGACACTTCTCGAAGTTTCATTCACTTGACTTGGGTGACCGGAACAAAGTACTTACATCTTGGTGTGACCCTGTGATGTCGGCAACTTTGCTAATGTTAAGGTGTGGTGTCGGTGATAGGAAACAGTGTGTAAATATGTTTGCATACTGTTCACATGTCGAATGTCGTCATTTCTATTGATGATATGTCAGTTTCAATATGGAATATCAGATATGTTTTCAATAGAACAATGATTTTTTATGTCTCTATCAACATTGCCGATCTTGATTCTCGGACATGATAGTTAACTTTGGGCCTAAGTACGCATGCGTGAGAGTTTTGTGACGTCATTGTGAGAAAAAAACCTGTTTGGCAACTTTTGGCAACTTTTCAAACAGAATTTGGCATCTTTGGTCCCAGGCCACCTGGCAACCCTGCTTGTGGGCATAAACACATTTTTAGGGACTGCAAGGAAACTTTGTATTTCGAAAATCAAACACTGAGAATTTGACTATAGCTCGAGCTACAGTTGCTATAGTCTGGATCCGCTCCTGGGGTGGGAAAATGTCCCCCGAAACTTTCAAATGACTCCCTGTCGGCAGCTGGGGTCTAGAACCTAGCAGACAAGTGTCGGCATATCCAGAGCCAACTAATTTCCACCTAACGTTTGGGGAAGGGTTAATGTTTACTGAAAAACACTGCACGATGATCCTGGAGGAACAGAAGCTCCTGTGAGCAGGGCCGCAGAGAGGAGGGGCAAGGGGGCAAAGTGCCGCAGGGCTTTGAGATCTAGAAGTCCTCATAAAGTGATCTATTCCATTTTAAGAATGGAATTAATAAAATGTAGGAAACGTAGGCCTAAAAACAGTAAAACTTTCTAAACGATTGCAAGAAATGGTTGCAAGAAATATTTTGAAATGCATTTTGAGATAATCTAAAGGGCGTGGTCGCAAAAATTTCTGCTCCTTCCGCTCGCAGGGGGGCTTCTCTTTCGGTTTTGCCAAGAGGCATCCGAAACCTTTCGGTGGTCTGGCCAGTAAAATCTGCCCATATGTTGTGCTTTTTAAGGCTGGTCGGTGTATGGTAGCAAAATCCACAATGAAATAAACACGATATATATATATATATACTATTTACAAGTTATTATTATAATTAATTCCATTCTTGACAAACGAACGATCTTGACAACTTTAAATAACTTGAAAACTTCACTTCAAACTACTCGATCACCAACTACTGTCCAACTTAAGCACGCCTCTCCCAACTCCAACTGAGCTAAACAATAAATCCATCAATCAATTACTTTAACACAACAAGATACAGGTGAGCGTGCTTTAAAACCAATATCGACTACGGACAGCATAATAATATTAAGAACAAAAGAGCAACGATATTTATTCTAAACTTATATTACAACACATACAAACTAAGGTTCTATTAAAACGTGCTGAACTATTTGAAAAAATGAGGGCATCTCATTGCTGAAAACTTGACATTCAAATAAAATCAAAGAAGGTAGTACTCTAAGGTACTCAGGGCAAATTGAATTAAAAGCGGGAAAATCGAAGTAATGATTGACTGACGAGAACATGCTCTTTGATGAATAAAATCAACTGCGTCAAAATGACACTCCTAAAAATTGATACATTTTAGGCCAGGCCCTTTTTTCGGCAAATTTGTGACTGGCACACTTCTACAATTTGATCCTAGGCCACACTTCTACATAAACTACATACTGATTTCCGACTATTATCGTTTCTGACGTGTTTTATATCTAGAACAACAACAAGTTGTATGTTTTTATTTGCTAAAAGCAAATAAAACCTTTCAAAGAGAAAAATTTCAATACAATCTTGCTTCTTTTTTTATTGATAAGGAGCAATAATTAAAGAACATGAAAGCTGCCAATAGCGATATTTTACGCAAACTACTCCGTTTGAAGTTCGTAAACCTCAAGCTCACATACTTGAAGATATTCTTGCCTGTTCAAGAATACAGTCACATACCGACCAAGCAAAAAATGCCTTGGACAATCAAACTTTTTCAATTCACCGATTGCCAACCTTCCATCTTTTACGCAAAGCGCATTGTTTCGCCCACCACTTGATCTATCATCCCCAACACTGATATCAAATGGATTTATTCTTTCTTGACCCCATGTTGCGCCACTTTTTATTTCGACACTTGTGACAGCAGCTTGCCTTGTAAGGTCCACTTGCCACCAGGGTACTATGTCTTTTTTGGTGATACTGCATCGCTGCCAGTCTCCAGTTTTGTCACCGTCATTTCCAAAGCTGGCAACAAATGTAATTCCACCATATTCATGAGCAGATGAATGCGAGGACGGTTTCTTATAAGCGATATTTTCTTGAACACCTAGAATCAAAGTAAAATTGCAAGGATTTTACTGCAAAATCAGAGATTATTTTTAATTCAAATCGCTCAAAGCAGCAGGAATCTGCCTTATTAATCAAACACTTTTATAACATTGTTTAATGTAAACACATTTGTGTATTTGTTACATTCTGTGATATTTTACATAACGTGATATAATATACAGTGTATGACATGATACAATTTTAAATGAAATTTTCGAGTTACAAAGACTTTTATGCAACTGATTTTATGTTGAATGCTATCGGATGATTTCGATTTTTACTCAGACAACATTGAGTCTTTTAAAGAAAATTTTTGGACTAAAACCTGTCTCAAGAAATTCTCACACAATAAAAGACATGTTTAGTTACAAATGTATGTCAGTCAAGGAAAAAGAAGTTTATACAAAATAAACTTAATTCTGAGACATTTTTTTTGACCTAAAAAAGTCTTTTTCATTTGATTCTAAATAAGAACTTCATCTGATTTTAGCTACGATATAATGCTGCCAGCTTGGAATAAATCGATAAATGCAGTTAAGTCCGTTTTATTAATTAAGAATAATTTTGAAGAATAATTTGTAGAAATCTTTCTTCAAATATTATTTGTCGTCTTGATATAATCTCAATAAAACATTTGAAGTATGATCTTGGTATGATATCAATAGAAAAATGTTCAAAGGTCAATGAATTTATTTTTGAACCATGTATAATTGGGGTTGCCATACCTATCAAGCTTTTTTCAGCCGGGGTTGTCATGAGATTATTGGCAAATTGATATCCAATCGTTGGCAGGTTACTATTTGTAAGTTGCATATGAGAGCGAAGATAAGTAGTTATTGTTGAATGGTGGTGTATATAGAAGAGATTGAGAAGTCCTTACTGCCCCTCCAGAAAATTAGAAAAAACATTGCCATTTGTATTTTGCCAAATGCATATGAAATATTTGAGTGGAGAGTTATAGCAAGAAAGCCGTTCAAGCTACCTGTTTTCAAAAGATGGTCATTGGAAAGATAAAAAAAACAACTTAAAATTTCAATTTTATTAATAATTAAACAGAAATTTAAAAAAGGGAAAATTTTTCCATGCTTCAACTCAAGAATAATTATATGAAAAAAAAGATTAACAAATACCTCGTTTCTTTGACCAAATAATGAGGTTGGATCTTTCGGCCGGGATATCTTGCTCATCTTTAAATTTATAAAAATAGTGGTTCTTAACATCCTTAGCAACGTAATAACATGTCTTTTCCATGCTGCATTGATGAAAGGTCTTATGAAACATGCTTGTTTTTATTTGTGTTGGGTTGTGTATTTCTTCGAAAACGGATTTGCTTGTACTTTGACTCTCGTCTGATTTGATTGAAGCAAAGTAAAACATTGAAAGAAGCAACGTCAAGAGAATAAAAACTCCCATTTTGGATAATAGATGAATTGAAACTTTCCCTGGAAAGAAAAATTTATTGCTTTTCAATTTGTTTATTAAACAGGTATAATATTGGTTATTTATAATTTTTTATAAATCCGGACACCTGCGCACGCAAATAGCAGATATATACGACAATAACAAAATAAAAACTTATTTTCATTTTGTCTGATTCCCTAATAAGAACTAAAGGTTTTTTATGTCCAGATGCGGACTTTTATATTTGATCCGCATTCAGTGTACTTTACATTTAGAAAAACTAACTTTTTTACAACTATTTGATTGTTGATATTTAAAAATCTATAACCTAGGTGCAACGATGGCTTAGTGGTTAGGGTCGCGGACGACAAATCCAGGGGTCTGGGTTTCGAGTCCCTGACGTGATTAAACTATCGCCCAGAGTGGGGGAAGTCACCAGGTTAATTTTTCAATCTATTTTACGAATATCAGAAATTTTTTGTAAAGACTCTTGGGAAATAAACTGGTCGAGTGTAAAAGCAAGAGTTGATAAAATATGTACGACCAAGTGTGTTGCTTACCGGGCAGAATGAGTCTGGGTTGCAAGATTGGATTCACAAGAGAAGGCCAGACTGGCGAGCAACTCAGATCAAACTGCTCATGAAAAGGCCTATGACGCTATTCATTATTCTATTTACGCGTCTTTGAAAAGAAGGGTTCAAACTCTCCTGATTTTGGCGGGAGCCTCCCGTTTTGAGAGTTCTTCTCCCGTTCTCCCGAGTTGAAGCCTAATCTCCCGCTTTCGGTAATTTTTATTCATCTGTTAAAAATCTAATTTTGAAATATATTGAGCAAATGAAGAAGATCTACATAAGTCTGTTAAGCCTGTCCACGTATCTACCAAATCTTTATTTCTTTTCTTTATATTAATCTTTCTTAATATTTGTTCCAGGTTATCAGAAAAACCATTAGCAAATTAGGGTAAAATGGTCCTCAGAATATTTTACCATTGTCAAGACTGAAGGTGGCGTTCTCTCATCATTTGGACCATTTATTTTTGGGCTGTCGGTGTACCAATCGCAAAGGCGGCCATAAAAAAGCCCCAACCGTTTCAGAGAGGGTTGAGAAAAAGAACAACGGCCTTCTTCCGCCGACTAGCAATACCTTGCTCATGCAAAAAATGCAAGCCATGCAGCCATTAACTTTTTTTTTCTTTCTTTATTTAAAGTTGGTACAATCTCTAGCTATACATACAAGCTAATTAAAACCAACTAATTTAAATTACCAACGCTAAATATAATATAAATCAAATATAACCGATGTTGATAACATATTCCTTGCCAAGATTACAAGTACAATTAAACGATGTAAATTCTGAGATTTTTTTCTTGAATATTGATAAAGTAGGGGAGTACTTTATCTCATTTCGAATTGAGTTCCATTTTTGGCTACATCTGTATGATACGGTATTAAATCCATATTCTTTGTAATGTGGCTCCGCTGTTTTGAATTAGGAGTTTCTTAAGTAATATGGGCATTCATTTATGGAAAATATTTCATCCATAAAAAGTGGATTCAATCCGTTAAATGTTTTGTAAATTTCTATCGCAAGATATTGTAAATTTTTCTTATGAGCAGTTATTGTTTTATTCTTTATTAAAAATTGTTCAAAAGTTGATTCATAATCATCATGAGCTATTCCCATTGC